CACACACTTCTGTACTCGGCCCCTTCAAAACATCGGTTTCGGGTGGGAACAGTTTGCCTCACACCCCCAGGTGTCGGGGGACTTTTAAACCATCTCATCACAATCGCCCACACTCGGGGTTTGCGGGGGGCCATTAGCAACAGTGTCCACATTTGGTAACAGGTGCTGCACTAGTTTGTGCAGGCACCCGCCGCTGCTTCCACACACAGCGGGGCAAATGATCGTACGCTCACAAATCTGCACTACATCTCTGTCCAGTATGTTAAAAAACCTGTGTTCAAAATCCTCCAGTTAACATAAGACGGTTTTGGGAAAGTGTAGGGTCATCTTCGGATAAATGTTCCCTCTAACGGCCTATAACACCCGCCCCCCATTCCTTGCGTGCCAGTGTACGGTTCCTACGCCTCAAAAACACGTGTATTCACCCTCACCCCCTCGAATGGTACATTACAGGCTTGACCACGTGAAGTGGGGGGATACGTAAATCAAAACGCCCCTTCAGAGGGAAGTACATCAAACTCACGTCTTGAAAATTTCCCCAAATGACTCGTAACAGTTGGGGAATTTTCAGTTTAACGAAGATCCTATATGCCCATTAGGCAAACACCATAAACTCCCATCGTCCTGGATCCCATACGCTCCCTGAGATGGTGGGGGAGTAAACACCTCGCTGAATGGGGGGAAATTGCCCCCACGAAGCATTCTATCCCGATGTTTTTCACGCGGCGCCTCACACTTGCGCCTGTGGTACTGGGAGTCCCCTGAAAATGCAGAGGGGGCAGAGCAAAACCGCACTAACCGGGGGAGGAGCGAAGTATGACTGTTGGTTGTGATCCTTTCAAGCCGTTCTTGGAAAATAGCCAAAAAACCTGCCATCCCTTTTTTTGAAACTAAATTTTACTCGATTTCTACATAGGGCGTAAAAGTCATTGAAAAAGATCTCTGGTGAGTGGGAGGATGATGAGAGACCTTCACATAGTCATCCCCCACAATATACAAAAAATGCGCTTTAAGGATTTTTTAATAGGTACTTATTCGTTCAAACCCCCCCCCCCCAAACCCGAAAACACTGTTAGTTGGACTGAAAAAATTTTTTGGGGAACCGCATTTTAAAAGGATCTTTTTTTTTGAATTCTTAAATTTAAAAGTTGGGTTTTTCCAATAAATGCTGTAAGTAGCTCCCTACTAGGTAGTTAATAGATGGGCTTAATTAGGCAAAGTCTGTTCACTCGCCTCTTTAACAACGTGTATCCATTTAATGACTAAAGCGTGGGAAACTCGGCGTGGGGTAGGTGTACCTTCGTGGGTGCCTGGTTAAATGTTCCTTGTTGTCACCCTGGGTAAGCTGTGAAGATAATTGTAGGTGCTAAACTAAATCACTGTAAGTCTAGCTTAGCCTGTAGAGGTTTCATTAGTAAATGAGTCTTATAAACTGAGAGTGGAAATGGAAATGTCGAGTAGGAATACTGTGGCTGCCTATCTCGACGTTCATGCCTCAATCCCCCTCCCTCCATCTTTTCCCTAAACGGTTACGGGAAGTCAGTTGACTTCTCTGAATTCCCACATCTGGGGATGCCCCCATGATTCGTTTATCCCACTCCTCACTCTTATTTCTTTGTTATTCCATCTGCATTGGTGCACCACACCTTCAGCTTCCTCTGTTACTGTGTCTGTGTCCTGGTTTATGGGTTTCCCTGAATTCTTGGTCCTTGCCCATGGGTCAAGAAGGTAAAACGGGTTTTGTGTGTATGTGTGTTTGTATTTACCTATACGAGGTTACAGGGGTCGAGGGATTTTTCCCTGGGGCCCCCTCTTCGCTGTGTGTACGTATGTAATTACGTTGCCTGTAGCTACAGGAACAGAGTTACGCTCATGTGTCCCGTCTTCAATGCTCTGCTTATGTTACAATTTTTAAAATTTCTAATGGTTGCAGCACTTACTAATTCCTCTTTCATTGCATTACACTTGTCAGCTACTCCCAAGAAAATTTCTTTTTACTTATCATTGCCCCTCCATTTTTCTTCAAACGGTTGCCTCTTGTTATCATTGTTGCAGGAACTAAGACATTTACATCTGCTCTTTCAAGACATTATATGAGGTTGTTATTTCTTCTCTTTTCCTCCGATCAGCTAACATTTACGTCCATAAAGTTTTCAACTTTCCATCATAATTCATATTGCTCTAATCTGGCAGCCATTTAGTAGCTTTTCTTTGAACATTTTCTAACTTATCTACGTCTTTTATTCAGGTGTGGACGCCACACAACATTTTTTCAGTAATAAAAGTTATTAATAACTTTCTTAACTTTTCTCCAGCCACACATTTGAAAATTTATTATAAAATTTCCCACAATTTCATTTATATGATAACTCTTAGATTCATTTCTTCATTTGATACTTTCAATAAATTTTTTTTGTCACGGTGTATATTCTTCATGTGGCTTGGTTTAACTTTTTCCCGGTCCCACTATATGGCATTTATCTACATAATTTCACGCCCTCAGTGTATCATTTTATGAAGATTTAGTCATTTTCATTATTAATTATTTTTACTTAAGATTTTGCATCATTTGCAAAAATATTCAGAAAATATTACCCCTTCTGATTAATTATTTATATAAATTAGAAATATTATTGGACAAGTACAGATCCTTTTTGGTACCCCACTTGTGACGTCTCCCCAAGAAGATATTTTTCCTGTTTTTAACTGTTGATATTTTCCTCACAAGCAAAAAAGTCTCTCGTGCACTGTAATACTTAACTTTTAATTTCTCCTATATTTATCAATTTCCAAATTAGTCTGTAACGGAGAAGTCCATCAGAACAGTGCCAGTGGGTAAGTTGGTAGCGCAGTCAATTTACATACCGAGAGTCTGTGGTTCAATCCCAGGGACGGGTAGAAACGATGGGCATATTTCCTTACAACTGCTGCCCCTCTTCACCTAGCAGTAAGTAGGTACCTGGGTGTTAGTTAACTGCTGTGGGAGGCATCCCAGGTGGAAGCAGCATACTGTAGTCAGGGCTTGAATTTAAATTAAGCTGAGGTACGATGTCAGATCATAGCTTGTAAAATTGATTTGTGAAAAAAAAAACTTTCTTAAACCTAGGTAAATACAATTTGTTCATCCATATCTTGAACAATTTCCGTAACTCTGTGTATGAATGTGTGTATGTACTCACCTAATTGTACTCACCTAATCGTGGTTGCAGGGGTTTGAGACTCAACTCCTGGCCCTGCCTCTTCAGTGACCGCTACTGGGTCCTCTCTCTCCCTGCTCCATGAGCTTAATCACGCCTGGTCTTAAAACTATTCATGGTTCCTGCCTCCACTACATCACTAGCCAGACTATTCCACTTCCTAACAACTCTGTGGCGGAAGAAATACTTCCTAACATCCCTTTGGCTCATTTTGAATCTTCAGCTTCCAATTGTGACCTCTTGTTTCTGTGTCCCATCTCTGGAACATCCTGTCTCTGTCCACCTCATCCATTCCACGCAGTATTTTGTATGTCGTTTTCATGTCACCCCTGACCCTCCTATTCTCCCTTTGTCGTCAGACTGATTTCCTTAACCTTTCTTCGTAGGACATTCCCCTTAGCTCTGGAACTAGCCTTGTTGCAAACCTTTGCACTTTCTCTGATTTCTTGACGTGCTTGACCAGGTGTGGGTTCCAAACTGGTGCTGCATACTCCAGTATGGGCCTGACGTACACAGTGTACAGTGTCTTGAACGATTCCTTACTGAGGTATCGGAACGCTATTCTCAAGTTTGCCAGGCGCCCATATGCCGCAACAGTTATTTGGTTAATGTGGGCTTCCGACGACGTGCTCGGTGTTATACTCACCCCAAGATCTTTCTCCTTGAGTGAGGTTTGCGGTCTTTGGCCACCTAGCTTATGCTCTGTCTGCGGTCTTCTTTGCCCTTCCCCGATCTCCAGGGACTTTGCATTGGCAGGTTAAATTCTAGGAACCAGTTGCGGACCACGCGTCCAGCCTGTCCAGGTCTCTTTGTAGACCTGTGTGGTCCGCATCTGATTTAATTTTTCCTCATTAACTTCACATCATTGGAAATAAGGACATTCTGACTTGTCCCTTCAGTCATGTCATTCACATATACCAAGAATAGCACTGGTCCCAACGACTGCCCCCTGTTGGCCCCCACTCGTCACAGGCGCTCACTGTAATACCTCATCACGTACCATGATCGCTGTTGCCTCCCTGTCAGGTATTCTCTGATCCATTGCAGTGCCCTTCCTGTTATACATGCCTGATCCTCTAGCTTCTTGAAACTAATCTCTTGTGAGGAAACTATGTCGAAGGCCTTCTTGCAGTCCAAGAAAATGCAATAGACCCCCCCCTCCCTCTCATGTTTACTTCATTTACCTTGTCATAAAACTCCATTAGGTTTGTGACAGGATTTGCCTTTCATTTAATCCGGTGGCTGTCGTTCATAACCCTTGTTCCACTCCAGGTGCTCCATTTACTTCCTCCTGATAATCCCTTTTCCATGACTTTGCATACTATACACGTCAATGGCACTGGACTATAGTTTAGTGCTTCGTTTCTGTCCCCTTTCTTAGAGATGGGGATCACATTTGCCGTCTTCCATAACTCAGGGTTAGTTGCCCAGTTTCAAGGGATGTGTTGAAGGTTGTGTGTGTGCGTGTGTCACCCGTATGTGGTTGCAAGGGTTGTGCTTCAGCTCCTGGTCCCATCTCTTTCCTGGTCGCTGCTAAGTTCACTGTCTCTGAGCTTCGATAGCCTTGTTGTACCTTTTCTTAAAGCTTTGTAAAGATATGCCTCTACCACTTCATTCTCATTGTCAAATTCTCATTGGGCAATTAAAAATAAAAAATACTCTCCAGAAATAGGAAAAAGTGTTGACATATACTCTACGTAATCGCTCTGATGTTTTCAGAAACTACTGTCAGTATTTTCTAAAGCACGTCTTGTGAAGTTCGGTATATTAAGTGGTAATATCCTTAAAACCCTTTTATTTCAGGAAGCCTTGGATACCCGGGAGAAGGGTGTTGGGTTTTGTGTGAGTGGACCACTAGTAGTGAAACTTGGTCGTCGAGTGACTCTCCTGGTGACCCTGCCCATCACTGCGGCTTCATGGCGAGCCTCGCTTTCTCCAACTGTCTGGCTGCTCTTAACTAGTCGCACAATTTGGGTATCACCGGAGGTATCATCCTTACCTCTACTTTCCTTGTACATCATCGAAATTGCTCATAAGAAATTTTGTGGAATTCTTTCTGGAATCCTTAACTTAACTAGGTTAATGGGACTTCTAATGGTGTCTTCTCTAGGAGTTTCTAAGCTCGACTGGCGACAAAATTGGCTTCGTTTGTTGCGGAGTGCCTGCACTTTCTTTCTTTTTTCCTTTATCTTACTGCCTAACTCTCCTCGTTGGCTCGTCACTCAAGGTCGTCTTAGCGAAGCTCAGAAAGCTCTTGTTTTTTTTAGAGGTAAACATTTTGACTCTGAGCCAGAATTACAGGATATCACTCAACAAATTAGCAATGTGATAAGAAATTGAACAGTTCATGGCAACAAATGCAGCTGCTGTTTGAGCCATCAACTGCTCGTATGTTCTTGTTATTGATTGTTTTTAATCTCATGGTAAGTATGAATGGGTGTCATATAATAATGGCATATTTAGTGCCTATTTTCCAGGCAATGGACTCCACCCTTGATCCATACAACAGTGCCATCATGTTTTACGTTGTTAGGTTTTTTGGGTTTTTTAGTTCACGTCTGTGTAATTGGACCGTCTGGGACCAAACCCCGATATAGTTTCTTTTTCTTTGTGCTCGTTATGTAGGGTTTCTTTTGGTGCTACTTTTACATGCTAAGACAGGGAAAGTTTGTGATAGGGATGGATACCCCT